AAGATTCTATGCTCTTTGAAAAATGCACTAAGGAGAACTTTCCTAATGGCTAGAGCAATCAACCAATGGAATAGCTTGCCTTCGTAAGTTGTGGGTGCTCTTTCACTGGAGACTTTCAAAGAGACTGGACAACCATTTGTCTGAAATATGGGTCTCCTGCTCAAGCAGAGGGTTGGACTAGAAGACATCTGAGGTTCCTTCCAACTCTATTATTCTATCCATACCAAAGACACCTACAGTAGTGACCAAAATTGTGGAAACCTTTTGGAAAAAGTGTATTTTCTAAAACTAGCTAATAACACTTTTTTTTTAGTAGCATCATAAAATTATTTATCAATGGAAAGATAATTTAATCAAGAATATAATGCAATAACTTTTATGAAGGATTTGCTATTAGAATAGCAGTTACAGTATAATGAATAAAAGTGAAACACTTAGAAAAAAAGATATATACAAAAATTATCACCATATCAGTTAATACTTAGTTGGGTAACCTTTAGTATGAATTATGGCCTTACAAAGTCTTCCCATATAGTGAACCAAGTCGTTTAGTTCTGCAGCTGTTATAATGTAAAACCAAGATTGAACGATTGCTTCTATTAACTGGGTTTTATTACTGGGTCACTTCTGACTAACAAGTTTCTTTAGTCGGCTCCATAGATTTTCAATTGGGTTAAGGTCAGCAGTGGAATATGATTATCTTAAACCCCCCCCCCTCAAAAAAGTGGTATTATTAGCCATCAAGCCTCAAAAATACCCTTTTCCCAAAAGGTTTCCACAATTTTGGCCACTACTGTATATGGCTATTTTTCTCAAGTTTTATCCTAACAAGCATGTAATAAATAATTACCAAGACTGACTGAGCTTCATTGCCAACCAGGATCTGTATCTGGCTCTTAAAGCAAAATTAAAATTGTAGTGCTCCAGATACTGAAAACTAGAAATATATTATATTTGGGTTTCTCTTTAGCATGAAAACGAAACTCCAAATATGTCCATTTAAGAAACTCTTTTAAGTATTTGTTACTATAAAAAGCTAGTCAGTTAGTGAACTGTTCAAATTCTGAAGGTGTATAAAAAGCATGCCATAAACATTTTTGCAGAAACCAGGGATTATCTGCATTTATTATCTGCAAATAAACTGGAGTTCTATAATAATTTGCAATAACCATCCTTACTATTTAAAATACTTGTGACAATGAAATATAATATGGAAAAATCTAATCCAAATTCTAGTCACTATTTGGATTATTTTATAGAATATTAACTGTTTTTCTGAGATGATTCAGCTAGAAAGTATTTGTAACTATTTCTGCAATTAACAATCTTTGCCAATATGCAGCAGGGTGGGCATAGTCAGAGCAGGCTGAAAGTAAGATATCTATTTACCTTTTAGAAGAATTAAAATCAAGCCATCTTGACAATTTAATCATTCATTATTTTATTAACATATTTTACTTCAGCTATCTCCTATTTAAGATATATCCAAGATGTATCCAAGATTAAGATGTATTTATCCAAGTTGGCTCCCCATGGTATCTAGTGAGATAGTGTGGGCCTAAGATGCTGAAGATGGTATTTTGCTGTGATTCACTATAAAACAGAGTTTTATTAGATAAGTATTGTAACTTGATAGGTTAAAGAGCCTTGGTGGCACAGTGGTTAAATGCAGTATTGCAGACAAACTCTGCCCACAGCCTGGAGTACAATCCTGATGGTGCTCAAGGTTGATTTCAGCCTTCATTCTTCCGAGGTCAGTAAAATGAAGACCCAGATTGTTGGGGGCAATAGGCTAACATTATAACTGCTCAGAGGGTGCTGTAAAGCACTATGTGGCAGCATATAAGACTAAGTGCTATTGCTAAATAAACCTTAGTTTGTAAAATGGCCTCTCCTGCCCTGATACTTCCTTCTCCTTGGAACCAGCTTAGTTCATACAAGAAGCAGGAGCTAAGTTGACAGTCTACTTTTCTTCCAATGTTTTCTCATCAACGGCTTTTGAAAACAGTTCCCAACTTCAAATGAATTAGCCACACAACTCAGGAAGGGAAGAGATATTCAAGAAAAAAAATCTTGGATACAACACATTTCATAGCTTTTCATATTATGGCTATGATATTATATCCTGATACAAAATGGTCAGATTAGTTCTGATGGACTTTTTAGGAATTCTTTAGATCCCAATGTGTTATGGGGACATGAAAGTCAAATGTTCAGAAATATCTAATTCTGGACACAGGATGCTAGAAATTAGACCTCAATCTGAAATGCTGCCAGCTTAGTATTGATTAAACTACATGAATTAAGGACCTTTTCTAATTGAAGGTTGTTGTTGTTTTTTTTTTGCCATTGTCAGCCCAAGACTTGGTCTGGGGTGAAACACATAAAGGCTTTCCATGCAGCTCTATATATACATGCAGTTTATAAGAAGCTATCCTAACTCAATAATTACATTAGAAGGGAAATAAGATATTCACAATCCCTCCAGAGATCAGCAAGGAAAACAGTTTATTTCCCACATGAGATGAAACAGCAGCATAGCAATGCTTCATTATTCCTGGACTTTACAATTAAATATCATTGAGCACTTCTTGTGAGGAAGTTTCTATATTCACTTTGCACCAAGCAGTTTGCATGGATTGTTTATAGCTGTTCCACAATTTAAGAACTAAGCTGGATTGCGACAGATAAATTGTAGATCACCTGAATGCAGGGTACATTTCAATAACCCTAAATAAAACATATGCAGATGTAAAATTATAAAACCTTCATTATCTTTTACTATAACATACACAAAACCTTTTTATCTTTTACTATAACATACACAAAGAAGAACAATGAAGATTACAAAGAGTTCATATGAAAATTTTGATATACTTAGGGCAGCAAAGGCATTTTTTAAATAAATAACAGATGGGCAGTATATTAGCTATTATTTTATGTATTTTAATTATGTCTTTACAATTCATATTTCTATAGCAGAATTCTGTTAGTTCCAAACTTATTAAAAAGTACCATTGTAGATAGCTGTCCATAAATTGTACTTAAATATGAATTGTTATAGCATTCTTGCTTAATGTGAAACCATATGCTTGCAGCAGATCTATGTTCTTTATTTGAAACATATAATATTTATATGAACACTTGCAAAACATTACTTCTTTATATGTATCCTATGGTACTTTCCATGTAATTAGATACCTTTTTCTTTGAGCAAAAATGGAGAATTTAGCAAAAAAATTGGATTTAAAAACTGTATATCATCTGGATAAAAAACAAAATACTCCTGTCTTGGTTAATATACTCCAGGCGAATAATGACATAAATATGGAACGTAAATGTTTAAAATTGCCGAAAGAACTATACTTTGTGTTTAACATACTGAAAAGTAATCTGTAAATTATATGGAATGCAGAAAATTGATGAAATTGTATTTGCTTGATTAAGACATTTTCTATGGATGTTGATTGCAATTTTAGCTCCAGTTGATCCATGAATCCTATGAACATGTTTTCATCACCATACTACTACACCCTCATGGTATAAAATAAGAGTACTGTATTTTTTGGAGTATAAGACGCACCAGAGTATAAGACACACCTTAGTTTTTGGGAACCAAAATAAGAAAAAAGCTGATTGGCAGGTGGATCGCCTCCTGGAATACCCCCAATCAGCTGTTCCTAGAGGTGAATTTTAGCAACAGGTTCCTTGGTTGTGAACTCTGTGTCTTGCTTTTTTTTTTCTGCCTCTGAAACTTCTGAAACTAAAAATTAAATTAAAATCCAAGAACATTATACGTTTTTTTTTACAGGGTTTAAAGAACCTAGTTATGGAAGAAGATGGCAGTAGATTACCTCACTCCCTTTTCTTTTTGCTTCCTTTCAGTCTCTAAGTAGCCCTGAAAATAAGCCTTGCAGGGTTAAGGTAAATTGATTGCACATGGGAAGAAAGAGAGAAATATGTATTATTTTTTTGCTCTGCTCACAAATGACATGATCTCATTTTCAGTAAGCTTTCCCCTTTTTCTCAGTGTCTTGTAGCACAGTGCATCCTACAAACCTATCAAATAAACTGTACAGTAAGAAAACTTGAAGAAATTATTCTGAATTTGAAGAGATCTCTAAAAAAATAGTTAACAGGGTCTTAGCTGAAAATATAAAATAGTGTCATACTAAAACAGTCGGAATAAAAATGTTTAATGGAACATTTCTGATATTATATGCCTCTGAGTCAGGATGGAACCATATGTCTAATAAAATAAATATTTTTAGTTTATTGCTATATTCAATTTGAAAAATAAAATCCAAATATTTTTAAGTTTTTCAAAGCAACTGCTAGGGATATGTAAACCATGTTAAGCTTCAAACACAAACTGTGTTTTTCAAGTTGACAACATTCCCTTGTTTAAAATTTTGTCTTGACCTCTGAACAAAGCATACTGGTTTTATTCCACATTCAAACACAAAATAGTGCCATTTCTGTTGCTTAGCCCCATGGTGAGATAGGGAGCAAATAAATTTAACAAATAAACAAACAAATAAATGTTCAATAAGGCTTGAATCCTATGATTGGCTTTTTTTTATCTAAAAGAGCCATGAAGTTTCAAGAACCAGTTCTCTCTCTGTTGCCATTGGCTGAGGTGTGAGGTGACAAGAAGGACAGGAAAAAACAGTAGTTATATGGTTAGAAATAGAAGGTATTGTTGCTGAACCTGACACAAATGTTTCATTTAAATAGGAAACATATAGAAACAATCTTGGATGGCTGTTTGAAACATAATTCCTGCAAAAACTTTTCCTAGTAGCTTAGTAAGTAGCGGTAGAAGCTTGTATGTATACACTGTAACATATATTTATTCATTTATTTGATTTATATTCCATCTGTCATCAGGATCTTAAATGTGCTTAGTACTTCCTTTTCCAATTTCTCCCAACAATAATTCTGTGAGGTCGGTTGGATTGAGAAAGACTGGCCAAAGTCACTCAGTGAATTTCAATAACTGAAGGTAAATTTAGTTTATTATGCCACTCTATCAGAGATTAGTGAATTTTGATCAGATAATATACACATACAATTTGCCAAATATATTTTTACTTACAAAGAAGAGATAAAAGTGAATCAAAGATCTCTACAGTAAGATTGATGAAGGAAAACACATTGTATCATTTCATCATTACCCATACCCATTCTTCATTGACACATGTGCTTAAGAAACGGAATATTATGGTGTTTTTCCTCAAACAAAATGAAAAAAATAAAATATCAATGTAAAAATTATCTGCTGGTACCCATCTATCAGAGGGACTGGAAAAATCAATTTTGTCCTGGCAATTAATATATCCTAGCTAGAAACTCAATTGTATCTAACCCAGATTCCAAATCTAATGATGCCTTTCATATACACTGAGGACCAGAAAAAGTTTAGATCAACTCATTTCTGGGGGTCAAAAATTCTAATAGGCAAAGATCTAGGCAACAGCTGAGCCACTTTTGCTTTGGCATTTGGGATGACAAATGACGACTCTTGAGATTCCTAAAAGGATAGCCCACTTACTGTCCATATAAGTTTGGCTAGTCTCTTGCCTGATAGGTACATTTACACCTTTAAAAAAAACTGCTATGAAAAAATAAAATGAATATTTGTATGTCTTATGCTTTGTTTTTTTGTTGCTGTTTTGACAGAATAAAGCTGAACTTGGTTGATCTTGAAAAGTTGGTAATTAAATGGGAATCCATTAGGACAACTGTGAACTGTAGGCTAGATAAAGAAGTATTTTAAAAATCCTGGAAAAAAGAACCGGCAAGTCACTTTATAATGTTGCCAAGAAAACTACATGGCTGTTCTCATGACTCTAATAGGAGTCAAAGTAAATTTGAAATAAATTTTACTTTTTAATATTTAGGTCAAATATTTTCAAAATCTGCGATGCAATGACCTGGGTAAAATAAATGAATTATGATTCCTCAATGAGTAAAATTAAATTCAACTGAAATTAAATATACCATTTAGTCTCAATAATTAAATGCACAAGTGAGTTATGATGATACAGCTATGAAGCTTGTCGTGCACAATTTACTCTAAACTCTGCTTTCCAAAAATAACTGCTGGTGCTTTGTCTATAGCCTTGTCCGACTGTGCTCTGGACTTTACTTCTTGCTAAGCTTGACAGATTGGGGGGAGAAACATATCCTAAATTGTTGATTTATTTAAACCCTTCTTTAAAAAATACTCTTTGACCAACTTTGCTATATGTTGCGGAACAGAAATTAGTCAGGATGGGGGTCCTCAACTGAAAAATGAGGCTCATCTTGTTCCAGGCTTCCACTGTTCCCATACGATATAGAAACCAAACTGTTAAGAGTTATGTTTTATGCAGAATACTCAAGCCACATTCAATTTTGTTCCACTGGGAAATTAATCAACCTGGAAAAGATTGGTTTATCCACAGTCTGAAACAAAACATCGTTAACACTTTATGTATTTCAACAAAAAATGTTTGGTTAAAATTGCCAAAGATCATAATACAGATTTAGTAGGATGTCAGTGAATACTATTTTAATCTTCCTAGCCTCAAAACAAATATAGAAATTCAGACTTCCTAAAAATATTTTAACCAAAGTATAGATGAATAAATTGCATGTAGCAAAAACATCTGTGGGAATAACTTTATAATCAGTTATTCAAAAAGAGAGAGAGATTAGTTTAACCAACCTTTCTCCCACTTGGAATAAACATTTTTTTCAATATCTGCTAGGTCTGTAATGTAGTATATATTTAATAATGATCTATTAAACAATATTTTCTATTCAGAAACCAAGCAAACATATATACTCATACATATTTTGGCCTAGAGTCCACCAAGATGCAAGTCTCTTTCTATTAATGGCACATATTGTTCATCTCAAGTGTTCAAATTCAAAGATGAGTCATTTGCACCATCTAGCTGTCACAGATTATTGTCTAACCTATCTTGCGTTCACTTTGAACTTAAAATGTATGCATCAGTGTATCCACAAAGTAAAAAGTAACCCTATGTAACATTTTACCAACTTCATTATTTATCCCAATAATATTTAATCCACAAATAACCTAGCTTCAATACAAATTTGTGAAATGCAAGCCAAAATATTTAAAAAACAAATACACTTAATTCATACTTCAAATTGTTCATTATTCCAAACGCAGTTCTGTTAAACATATATGACATTATTAAAATGCCTTACTTTAAAAATTCCTCAATCTAATTAAAAATATTTTGGTTAAATATGCCTACATTTAAAAAAAAAACTGTCATTTTTAAAACATTCAGGTACTTATTATTTACATAGTAAGTAGCATAAAGTAAAATAATCTGTTTTCTCGTGACAAAATGAGTTATTTATCAATTTAAAAATAAGGCTTTCTGAATATTTTTTTCACTCTATGTAGTAGCTAGTTTTGAAAGTGTATGGTTCATTTATTTTATTCCACTGCAAAAAAGCAGCAGAATATAATAACTTTCTGTATAAAATTGCTCCTTCTATTTCAGAGCATACTAAGCACTGCAGGTAGTAATATAAAGGGACATATATGATGCTTAAGAAACAAAATTAAAAAGGCACCTCTAAAGTAAAAGCAAATCTGTGCTTCAAGTAAATTAAATTTGAAAAGGTATAGTTTGCTTCTGAATGTGAACAGAAGTATCTGATAGTACTACAGATAACAATGTTGATCAGACCAAACCAAACCAAAATATTTACACCAGATTTAAATTTCTTCAAATATTTCAAAATTAATTTAAAAAAATATTTCCATGAATATTTCTTCTGAATGATAGCTCGAAATTAACGAAGAATATATTGTTGCCTTTGATGCAATCTTTGGTCCACAGAAAAACATCAGGAATTAATGTTCAATTAAAAGCATCTTTAATGTATTTTTTTTCCAAAACCTGATATAAAATGCTGAAGACAAAAGAAAATGGAATGGATCTAAGAACCACAATGTTACGCATTTCTTTCCAACATACCAAATTGTGCAGTCAGAATTGTTTTTAATGACTTTATTTTAAATTTTGTACATAAAGAAAACCTGTTCATATCCATCATGAACAAAACTTAAAAAGGCATAAATTGAAGATATTTGTGTCCTTCATCAAAGCAAATGCTGTGTTAAAGGTCCAAACATTTTCATTCTTCAAAATAAATATTCTTTGTTTCTTTCTGTCTCGGCCCCCTCCTGTTTTGCCTCCTTTCCCTCTTCTCCCCTGTGTCTGTATTTCAGGCTTCAGAAAAATCACTGGAAAATGAAACCTGTCTTGAAATCACACTTCTAAGCAGAGTTCTAAGCTCACTGTGTTTGGTAACTTGCCATACCATAGCCAGCCTGATTAGGTATTACCGGAGCAGCTTGTCCCTGGACAGGCTGAGCAGCAAATCCACTCATCCAGGTTGCAGGTGGTGTTTGACTAGTTCAAGAGGAAAAGAAAATTGTAATTATTCTCATCTGTTTCAATTTTAACCACAATAATACCCATTACTAGATGATGAAAATTAACCCCTTGTAATCCTTTAATCATGACAGACATATTACTTGCATTAATAAATATATACAGCATTCCCCAGAACTACTTTGCAAAACAAACTAATTAGCAGAATTTTTTCTATTGTCTTTGGTAAACAATTTAGTCAGAATAGCAACTGAAAGGTAGACTGGCGTACTGGATAACATATAGATTTGCATTCAATTCAAGGTAGAGTGGGATAAATTGCAACTCAAAAGTGTTTACTTCATTATTACAAATTTAGTTATGAAAATTCAAATTATTAATAGCCACATTAAGCTTTGGCAATCAGATACGCTCAGCGGTCCTGATTTGCATTTACATCTTTGATTCAACTGAATAGAACAGAACTCACTGAATTTATTCAAAAAAATGTGTGTATTAAGCTAGTGCAACCCATTTTGTTTAGGTTATGGTTGCATAATGATTTTGCTTGTGCAAATCTATGGTTCACTGCTGCTCATTCACATAGCATTATAATTAATTAGACTCCCTCCAGAAATGCATTCTTAGATGAAAATTAATACTTTAACTTTAGAAACATGATACAGATGAATTTTAATATACACTGTGCTAAGAGACAAATATCTATCAGATGTAACTCAATGACAATATTATAGTTACATCTGTTAACAGCACTGTTTGGACCAGCAGCATTTTCAACTTCTCAGACACACAAAATACTACAACAACTGGTTAAATCTTTTAAAACTAAAAAAAAAAAATCTATTATTAGTTTATACTGATGTTTGCTATCAAAAATCAATTTGATGTGAAAATAGTAAGAGATGAGTAGAATAAAGAATTAGAGGTTCCTATATTGCCGAGACAAATATTGTCTTAACTTCTTTATCTAGAGTGGCAATGGATCTTAACCTACAATTTATACAACAAAAAGTAATATATCAAATTTATCTATTGCACTTGTATAGAAAAGTATTGTTAGGACTGCATTTTGTTGGAGATGCAATAAGATTGAAGCTTCTTTAAATACATGTTTTTATAATGTAAAATTTAGACATTTTTTACTGTTTTTTAATTATTAAAGTTTGGGAGAAAGTAGTGGACTAAATAAATGTGACTGAGTAAAAGCTAAAATTTTCAGGGGATATTCTCTTGATTTACATACTTAGTTTTTGAAATTTCACAATTGGATAACATAAATGGATTCTCTGTGTCCTTATTATAGTTAAAAGACTGATATTGAATCTTGGACAGATAAATCCACATACTCAGTAGATTGAAGATCCGATTACACTTGCTACTTGTTAATGGACTGCCTATAGATGTAGACTGCATGAATATATATACATATATAAAGAAACTGATTTATATAAATTACACTACCTTAAAAAAGCATGAGAATCATAAAAGTCTCTTTGTGTATGAATTTATTAAGATAATTATATAGAATTGTAAATGTTTATTGTTCTAATAACATATTATACTCTATTTATTTGTTGCATTTTTCACTTATTTTTAAGCATTTATGAACTTTTTATAATGTATATTATTTTTGTGTTTTGTTCCTTTTGCTTTTTTCTATTATTTTAAAAATAATAAAAAAATAGCAAACTATTACTTTAAAAACAAAAACATTTGTCTTTGCACAAGCGAATATCAAGAGTTCCCATCCCAGGAAAATGATATATGCAAGCATCAATTTCTAAGCAGAAGTACTTACTCAACGCCAAACCCTTGTTGATTCCATGCTTGACCATACATTCCGTAAGATGGCACTTGCCATCCGTTTGTCATATACTGCCCATATTGCTGTGGATTCCCATAAACTTGACTCCACTGCCCCCATTGACTGTACTCCACCTATGGATTTAAACAACTTGTGTTATATAAACAAAAAGGTAGAAAATTAAGTAATATGTGCTTATGAGAAAAATGGAGAAAAAGCCAAAAGTAGTATAAGTTCTATGTCTAAAGGTAAATTCCATGTGGGATTTTAATGCATAAAATTCCATGCAATGATTTGGACAAATGCACACAACAGAGGATATAGAAAATACAACACTTTATTGCTAGTCTACCAATTACCTGCTGGAAGTCTTTTGTTGTATCCGGTGTTTCTTTGCCCCAGTAGCATTTAACAACATGGCCTTCAATTGTAGTTCCATTGACTGAAACAATAGCATGTGCTGCACTTTCATGAGTTGAAAACCTGAGACCAAAAAAATGGTATGAAATAAAATGTTACTATATTATCCTGCTCTAACCTTGTAGGACTGGTTTAACAAGAATAGTTCATTTATAAATAGTTTACTTTTTCAGAAGATATAGTACAGTTAAAAGGCTATCAGCCAATTGTTTATCACTAAACCTGGCATATGTACCATCAATATTCATGGAACTTAACAGCAACATGTCTTTTTTTAAAGAATATACCAAGTACATTTCAACAGTGTAGAAGTTATTGCTTCAGTGTATATAGTTATCTGCCGGTAATTATCCATGGAGATTAGGTTCCAATGTAGGAACCAATGTATTTAAATTCTTAAAAAAATAATTAGGTGTGCCATTGACTTTGACAACTTAATATAATTCCATAATATTTAAGGCTCCATTTCTTTTTAACATATATGATATTGGATATTTTCTGTATTTCCTTTTGTAAATATTTTACAAAAATATGGTTTACAGATGAACAAAATGGGACAATTCCTGGCCTTAAACTCATACCTTACGAAGACGCAATCTTAATGGAGCACAGACATGTGCCACCACCCCAACCCCAAGAAACCTGACATAATTATTGATGTTAAACGTAGTCATTGACTTTGTTCGAAATTACAACAGTCCTGAACAAAGGGATTTGCAACATATGCCCAAAGCTATGGCTGTTGCAACACCCTTATGGTGACATGCTGAAAAATGCACATTTATGACCACAGGAGTGCTGCAAATGCCCTTGTCTGCCTGTGTCTCCCCCCATTTCAAACTGCCATGGCTTGTAGGACCTCCATCTGGTCCCTGGCTAACCAGGCCCAGGAGTCCTAGCCCGCTCCTTTGATAACTAAGCCCAGGGGGCTTCAGCCTGTTCTCTACTCCACTAACGCATGCAAGGATCCCACTTACACTTTTTGTTTTTCTCCAGTACTGAAGGTGTGACTCTCCTACTGAGGTCTCCTCGTGCCACTGTCCAAGCAGGCTCCATACTCATGGTGATATTCAGAAGTGTCATTCTCCAAATCATGTGAAGCCTTCCCTATCTAATTAACCGGTGCTCATTATCTTGGATTATCCCTGTTTAACAACCCGTGAGGTTACTTAACCACTGCAACCAGAGGACCTGGAATTGCGGTAGTTGAGTGAAGTGGTCACATGACACCTTAAATGTCTACTTCACTCAGCAACCAACATTCTGGTGCCTATTACAGCAATAGCAATAGCAGTTAAACTTACATATCGCTTCACAGTGCTTCACAGCCCTCTCTAAGTGGTTTACAGACTCAGTATATTGCCAACACTCTGGGTCCTCATTTTACTGACCTCGGAAGGATGGAAGGCCAGTGAGAATCGAACTGCTGAACTGCAGTCAGCAGAAGTAGCCTGCAGTACTGCATTCTAACCACTGCACCACCATGGGTCTTTATGGTCATAAATCAAGGACTACATTATAGAAATACAATGAAAGTAATTCAGATGTAATAGCTAAAATATAGTTATATGTTTGCTTGTTGCCAACATGGTACTATGTTAAATTCAGAGCAAATAATGATAATTCTCCTACCTTACAAAAGAATAGCCTTTAACTGGAAAAGCTCTGGTTTCCACAATTTGCCCAAAAGGGGAGAATGTCTGTCTCATCAACTGATCTAAAAACATTAACATTTGTGTTAGTCATGTGAGTATTCAGTAGGTCACTAAAAATTTTGTAAAGATCAATGTGACTCTCACCTGTTAATCCAGAGGCAATTCCTCCACAATAGACAGTACAGTTTTTGGGGCTTGACTGATTTACTACATCCTCAAATCTCAATTGTTTTGTGTTGTCTGCAAGATACAACTTTTTTCTGTTATTTCCATTAATGAACATACAATATGTCACAATATTGCAACCTACCATATTTGTAAATTAGAAAGGCCCTAAATTCAACACTTTTCAAGTCATCAAATCATGATTTGGTAGTTCATTCAATTTTCATAAGTAATATCAACTTTAATATATTTATTAACGAAACACTGAAAATGTTTAAAGATGACATAAGGAACAAAATCAAAATTTTGCTGAGCAAGAACCTTTCTTAAGCATTATCTCATAGCAATAACAGTGGCAAAATATTGGGCAGGGAAGTGCCCTTATCATGTAGATGAAGGGCTGACTGACAGCTGTATTTAAGGTAAGCCAGTTTCTTTGTTAAGGAAGAAGAATAAGAATATTTGCAGGATCACTATGAAAACTATTCTAGGCATCTGCCAGATTGGTTGTTTGCTTGGTTTTGCTTGGCCTCTAGCTATAGAGGTCTATGGAGCTGCTTGAGTATGGTCTTGCCTAGTTATTTGAGAGTAGTTTGAATCTCTTAATCTTGATGAAATGGCCTGGGTCCTCAAAGCTGTAAGATGAGTCCATCTGTATTTCTGATTCATAACTCATTTACTTGGTCCAGGCCTCCAGAAAGTGAGGCAGTTGAGTCCAAGCAGTAGTTAATGCAAGAATGGTTTACACCAGTGGTTCCCAACATGGGGCCCACACCCCACAGGGAGGCAATTTGATTTTTAATGTTTAAGCCAAGTTAATGGACTTTTAGGCTTCCTCCGTGTGAGTGGAGTTCACTTTTTGAGTAAAGTAAGATTTATCTGTCATGGGAGGTTGTGTGTCAGGATTTTAGAGATGCTTAGGTGGGGCATGCCCAAAAAAAGGTTAGGAACCACTGGTTTACACCTATTGTGAAACAAAGTGTTCATTCTCTCAAGAAGCTACCACTAGACCCAATGGAACTGGATATTTTTTTTTATACAGCCTCCATCTTTCCTTCTTTAGGGAAGGTCACTGAAAAGATGACCAGCTTGTGGTTCAGAGCTCTGGAAGAAATGGATTATTTGGACCTTTTTAGCTGGGGTTCAGATCTGGTTATAGCAGTCACATAGCACCAAACACATCTGTTGGTGAGTTTGGCAATCCTAGGTTAGAGACAGTACATTGATTCTGGCCTTCCTTGATCTCTCAGTACATTTCTGAACAACCCCAGGATTGAGAGTAGAAGGTATGGTTCCCTTTCTCCAGAACTGGTTCCAATCAGTGGCAGAGAGATCAATCGATATTTCTATTTTGTCCGATACTTCTTGCTCCTATCTGACATATACATGAAGCTGCTGGATGAAGTCATCCGTCAACATATAGTAAGTATCATTAGTATGCTTATAATAACCAATTTGTCTAACATTAACCAAGTGATAATATCAAGGTAATCTCTTGGTGTTTGAAGGTTGGTGGGGGATCCTGGATTGGCTTAACCCTGGCAAAAAAGAATGGCTGAAATTTTGAAGCCTGTCAGATCAGGATACTTTTCATCTTTAACTCTGAATGGGGTTGCATTCCCCACAGTTGGAGTGCAACTCAGAGATCCTCATGGATAGTAACTCCTACTTAAGGAACAAAGACTGGATTAGTCTTTGCATAGGTTTATCTTGTGCACCAATTTTGACCACTGCTGATTTAGGAGGATCTACTCATGCTAACTTCTGGTTGCAATTCAAGATGCTGTTATTACATAGATGGATTGGACCACTTGTTTTTGTTTCTCAGTGCCTGCCAAAATCAACAAGGTGTGGGCATTCTTGGGATCCTTTTAATTGTATTGCCATTTTGTGGATATCTCCTGTCCTAGCATAAGACCTGTGCAAGAGCATCCACACACATTCTTCACCAACATACAGATATCTAGATGGCCTTTTGTAAAGCATAGAGCTAAGGGAAGCACCTGGTTGTTCCTCAGGTGTTTGGGCTGGAATGAGTCCTATGGATTGTTTATTTTTTGTTTCTTATTGATTGCAAGTGAAAATATGTTTGGATTTCTACCACATGATATATTAATTGACAATGATTGCAATTCTTTAATTGTTTCCTAGTTTTAATTTCGGGTTATCTGTCCAAACTCACAATAACAAGATAGAAAAGCATGTAAATAATGAAACAATATATGCACAAAAGCAAATATTACCAAAACTATTTATGGTACTGTACATACATTTGTAATATCAAGAAGAGATGCAAAATATTAAATATCCATATTCAGTATTGCTATCAGATATTTATATAGACAGAGGTAATCTATCAGAAATCACTCTGTTAATATAATTAAAAATATAATTTCATTATTGCTGAAATTCACTTACTTTCTTGTACAGTTTTAGGAGCAGGTGGCTTTCGTGTTGCCCAATTAGTTCTGATCTGACGACCTCCTAACCACTGGCCTCCCATATGCACAATTGCATTTTCTGCATCCTAATTTTTTTTTAAAAACCACAGAGACAAAAATTAATCATAAATTTGAAATAAGAGAATTAAAACATACATTCTATTTTGTGCTTTGTCTTTTGCTCAGAAAATATAAAATTGACCAATTTAGGTACTAATAGCTTTTCCAAAAAATTAATGTAAGGGAATTAATACACTGAATGAAGAAGATAGATCCTGTGGCTTCCAGATGCTGCTGAATTTGAGTTTCCAATAGTTCTTACTATTGGCCATATTGGTTGGGCTGCTGAGAATTTGAGTTCAACATCTGGAAGGCCACAAATATTCCACCTCACATTTAATACATTTAAGACACTTTTAGGTATAGATTGACAATATACCATGTAGATCCCACTACAGCTCTCCTTATTTCCATAAGAAGTAACTGTCCTGCAAAAGATATCTTTACTCTACTACTAGTAAAGTTAAAAATAGGCATATTTTTATCTCTTGTCTAAAAGATTGATATAACATTACTCAACCACATACTTATAGCTATAAAAAGTTCTGCCTTTCACATAATCAACGGGTTATAAAAGTGGGCTATGAACTAGCATCCTACAAATGTCTGCCTGCTTGTATTGCATCCTTTATAAATTAAACTCACAAAGCATGAAGCAATGATTTGTATTGTTCAATGTACTCACCAATTTATTATAAAATGATACAAAACCATATCCTTTTGATTTCCCTGTTGTCATATCTTTAACTACCCGTGCATCCCTGGGAAGAGAAGCACAGTTATATGAGGAAATATTATAGATATTCAAAATAAAAACTAAAAGGAACCACACACACTGTATTGTGAGCATAGTTTTCCCTATTATAAACTCAGTAACTCCTAACTATAACCATTCCTAATGCTGCCTAATACTTCTTTACCTGTTAGAAAAAAGCAGTAGGACAAAAATATAAAATAACATGTAATAAACATGCAACCTATCAATATATCCTGCACTTTCTACAACTAAATCGTTCAAATTTGAAATTTTAAAAGGAACAGAATTTCCTTTTCTAATTATCTATTGACTAGGGTCTTCTAAGGTTTACTGAACTATAAATTACTTAACATTTCTAACTATGTTTACCATGCATTTTCTAAATAAATGCCCTCTGCCTAGTGATATAAAATATGAAATATTAAAAAATTGAAAAAGAGGAAAAAAATAGGAATTAAAAGGCATACATGGCCTGTTAACAGATTTCTTTATTTTTCTTGGTCAATTCTCTACCATCATTTTGGAGTTTGGGCAGCTGTAAATTTTGAAAAATTGACATTTTCAGAAATTTAAGAAAGGCGAATATAACTAACAACAATGCTAAGTTCACCAATATGAAGACAACAAATTTTACACATAATTTTTAGTGAGTAAGTTAAAATGATTGGAAATATAGAACTGCACTGAATATAGAATGTTAAAATGTAAATACTAAGATATGTATATATAAATAATGTATAATAAGAATAAATAGAAATGAGAAAAAAATCTACAACTGAGTTCCAGTGTGCACAGTTCCTTGCAGTTAGCTTCAAGATCCTGTCCATTCTTATGAGCAATTCTGCAAAATAATCAGAATGCTATTACTTTTAATTGTGACTTGGACTTTAGAAAAACTGCAGGTCTCAGGTATAAATCAAAATTGAGAAATAGCAACCTGTATTAAATCTTTTAATATTGGCTTGCAAACAGTACCAGTACTTACCACACTGAGATAAAAAGCAAAGTAAATCAAACAGACAAAATAAGATTTTGTTGCATTTGAAAATAAGAGAAAACATAGAGAAAATATGCTTTATAGCAGAAATACATTCCTGTAAAGTAACACAAGATGTTCAGGTTTTGTTCTGATGTTGTAAAAAAGACAAAGAAAACAATAGGAGAAAGTTTTTCAAGAAATTAGATAAAATAATAAAACAAACACACATACTATAGCACTTGAAGGAACACTTGCAAAGATTAAAATGTTCATTTACAAAGCTATAGATACTTGGAAATTTAGTCCCAAAGTTCTACTGTCAACAGATATATACTTTTGACTGGCATAATTAACATATCCTTAAAACAAGACTTCTTTACTTAAAAGTTTATCAAAAGATATGAATTTTAATTTTCAAATTTAAAAATCCTAAATGTAGTGCTACATTTCAAAAATGCAGGAAATGAAGTTTTACAACTGGCTATGACTTAAACAGAGTCCAACATTACCTACTGTCTATAATTATCAGACACTTCCAGCTTCTATCAGACAATGCTCTATAAGCCACAAGAATCAACAGGTTTGCTTTCATTTCCCCACAACACACCCCAGCCCATAAAAACGCATTTGGATTTGCAAGTGTGAAAACCACACAACTTTAAACAGAACTGAGGCAGAAACCATGTTCATACTTGTGTGGAATAATATAATACAATAAATGGACAAGATAATTCTACACCATTCACATGCCATTATGTAAATAATTCTATGCCTAATAAACGACAGTGATTTAAGAGAAGAACAATCTAGCGTTTTAATTCTGTTTGTATTAATGATTTAAGGCAAAAAGTATAGTACTTACGATATTTTACCAAAAGGAGCAAATGCTGACTTAATATCTTCTGTTGTTATTTCTGGACTTAAATCTCCCACAAACACATGAAAATGATCTGGAGGAAAAAAATAGAAATGCATTGCTGCTATATGCAAAAAGTTTAGCTTCCTTATACTGCCAAAGTAAAGCAATGAATACAATCCAACTGAATACATGGCTTAGGTAGTGTTGCTTCAGAACACTTACTTACTTGAAGTATCTTTTTTTTGGCTACTTGGTGTTGTTGCCCAGTTAACTTTTACTTCCTAAAAATAATGAAAAAAAATATCAGTAATAATAATAATTCAGACATAATTCTTATGTCAATGAAGAGGATGTACAGGATCATGCCAACAAAATCCTTGCCATGAATCATATCCTATTTACTTAATTTGCTACATGCCATTCTTTTTTTCTTTTGCAACGTACCTTTCCCAAAATTTTTCTCCCATTCATAGCAGCTAATGCAGCAGCTGCATCCCTGTGTTCATAAAATTCCACAAAGCAATAAGGGTCATTGCTTGTATGCTGCAAAACAGAAAATCCAACAGAAGAGTTGACTCTTCTGCTATCGGGTTGCTGAGAAGAAAATCCAGGAAAATATATTACTTAAAGCTAGAAAAGAAAATATTACCATAAGTGCTTACAAAGTAGCTGTAAGAATTGTTGTCTATTCTGTCAAAAGAATATCTCAAATTATAGCATTCACAAAAGTACATCTAGAGGTCATCATGTATGAAAGTGCAGGTTCAATTCAGAACAGCCTTTCTTGAAAATTTGTCACACTGTTTAGATGACATGATGGATTACACACTTAGAATCAAGAAGTTTTAACGGCAGCTTGTGGTCCTAACTGGAATTAATTATCAACAAAATTAGCCTCTGAACTTGTCAAAACTAATGCTGCCAGCTTCTATCGAACTGGATCCAGAACACACTTGGGATAAGATTACATCTACTATGTTGTGCTTCTAAAATGGTTCACTCCCTGTAAATTTTTATGTAAGTTTTGAAGGAAAAAGGGGCTTATTGATAACTGGAGCTATTTCCTTTGGAAACATGTTCAGCTCCAAATACTTACCAATTTCAAAGCCCAGATTTGGGAGGATGTGTGTGATCGTTTCAGATTTCACAAGCATTAAAAGCAAGAATGTAGGTTAGAAAATTACAGCAAAATGCAGTAAATAATTTAAAATTATTTGATTTTTAGCTTCATATTTTAATGAATCAGGTTATATATGTAGATATGTTACATTTAATATATAAATAATAAAATGCAAAATAAATGTTACCAGTTACCTATGGGTGGTTGCTAAGAAAGAAATAAATCCTTAATATTTAAAATATTTAATATTTAAAACACAAATATTTAATATTTAATATTTAAAACACAAAAAACAATGTTACAATCCATATACCCAACCTCCAGAGAAATGTTACACACAACAATTTTCACTAATCTGGGAAACAACACAATTCATGTACCAACAAAAGTATTTTGATCTAAATTTCTAATGACCTATCTATTGTGCCATTTTGTTTTATTGATAATACTGTATATAAGAAGTCCCTTGAAACTGCCATTTAAAAAAATCAGAATATGAATTTGGAATTAAGATCAGGAATATATTTCCTTTGATATACCATGTACACAAAACAGATCGTTATCAATACTGAGACAACTGTGATAAAAGTTAAGACATCACACTTAGCTAAAAATGAACATTATGATTTCAGTTGGTATGAGAACCAGCCAATGGCTATAAACTAGTGAAGTTTGGTCAAAATGATTATTTTCAAAATTGCAAATTCCAGTATTGGACAGTATCTGTTTAATTTCAATCCATTTCAACCCATTTAGAAATAGACCTTCAGGATTAAACAAGGTTCTGGTACTTGGAATAGATCCCTTCCCTGGAGCTATTAAAATCAAAAAGGAGGAATATTCTTCCAGGCTTTATAGTCCTAAAAAGAACCAAATTTCAAACAGTCATATATTACTATAAAATCTCTATTTAATGAAAATGGAAAGAAAAAAAGGTAGATTGTAAATCTTTCGTATTGAAAATACTAATTTCTATCATTTATGTAGATATTTGATAGTTTTATTTTTTAATAATGAAAGATATAACTTGTAGAAAATCACTAAATGAATCCAACAGTCAGGTCAATTTCAATAGTCCAATACACAATATTGGTTCTCTGTTTCTGAAGTTCTATCCTTTCTAAAAGGAAATATTTTGGTCATCCATAACTGTAAAAAAGCAAGGCTAAATCCTAATAAAACATGTTTTATTCTGATGTTCATCTTAAAGTATTAACGGAATATAAATTATTCAAATAAAAATACATAAAAACCATAGTTGCAACCCAACTACTTTTCTATGTAATGACTAATATTCATAGGAGTCCTAATAAGAAATTGCTTACACTCTTTAGCTTTTTTCTGTTACAAAGAAAATGTTGCAATCGAAGTAATCTTTAAATAATATATACAGCCCAAATTATTTTGTAGAGAGTATTTCTTTCAGCCTTCATTCAAAAGAGTATAGTTGTAGTTAAACTAAACATATATATTACTAGAGACCGAAGCAATCTTTCTGAGGGGCTGAGAAGAGTCAATAAGCATATACTTTAAGATATACAAGTACCTTTTCTAATCAAAATTTGTCAGTTAAATCAATTAACTAAGGCTATAATGCTAGTCAATGCTTGCATAGGAGTCCTCAATTAAACATTTAAACTGTCAGTATGTGAAATGCTAAGGTATTTCATATAAATTAGATTGTGAGAATATATTACCTCTGTTATCATTTTACAGCTTTTGCAAGGTCCAATTTGGCTGAATAATTGAAGTATAAGGACTTCGGTCACATCTCTGGAAAGATTTCCTACATAGCTAGATATAGAAAAGAAAAGAAAAGAAAAGGTAATATTAATGTCATTAATTTATGCCTTACCAAGATATTCTGCAGGTATTAAAAATCCATTTTATAAACATGCCATAATACTTATACATTACAAACAGTCTGTTAATCAAAAACATTTTAATTCTGAAGTTTTTCATTACAATTTACCAAAACACTAAATACTGCCACTGCAAAACTGCCACTGCAGTTAACGAATTAAGGTATAAAACAAGAATGCTCAATGTGTCAATCTGTGTGTCTTGGATACAGTCTCAAAGTCTCCATAAAGGTTTCTTTTGTCTGCATGCCTGTGGGTCAATGTTGGTTACTGCAACTTGCCTGGACAAGTCCTTGCAATTTTCTTGGCAAGATTTCAGAAGTGGTTTGCCATTACCTGCTTCTAGGACTCATAAAGAGTGACTGGCCCAAGGTCACCCAGCTGGCTATGTGCCTAACATAGGTCAAGAATGCATGGTCTTCTACTTTCAAGCCTGATACCCTAAGCCAGACATCCTCAAACTATGGCCCGTGGGACAGATACGGCCCACTGACACAATCTATCCGGCCCGTGCACAGTGGTGATTAAGCCCGGCCCTTCCCAGCTGTAGGATTGAGTGGAAGGGAGCAGGGGGAAGGGGGAAGGAGGAAGGGTAGGAAGGAAGGAGAAGCCCGGCTGTCTTTCCTTTGGCGTGGGGCAGGGGGAAGACCCAATACCCCCTCCATGCCTGCCTGCTGCTCTTGCAGTGCCTTGCGCAGCACAACGAAAGCTAGCACACTTCACAATGGGTGAGACTGGATCCCCTCCTCCTCTGGGAGCCCATTCCCTGCCCCACTTGTCCCTGGCAGTGCTCTCTCTCTCTCGGCGGAGAGCAAACTGGGAAGTAGCCGCCCGCTGTTTCCGCCAATCAGGCAGGGGAGGGGAGGGGAGAGACAGATTCAGCTTGATTTGGCCCTCGCCAAAGACATTCACCCATCATCCAGTCTCCCTCTCTCTCTCTCTCTCTCTCTCTCTCTCTCTCTCTGTGTGTGTGTGTGTGTGTGTGTGTGTGTGTGTGTGTGTGTGTCTTACTCTCTCTCTCTCTCGCTCCCTGTCTCTCTGTCTCTTCTCACTCGGAAAGCCCTGCGTGCTTTCCTTGGGGCTTTTTGCTACCAGGTTTTCTTTATTCCTTTCGGAAATCTGGGCTTGCTGAGGAATGAGCAACAGAGGCTTCCCTCCTCCTCCCCCTCCCCCTCCTCTCATGTGCACCCTCCCGCCACAGCCAGCCAGGGGGTCACAAGAGGAGGAGGGGAAGGAGGAAAGCCACACCCATCCAGTCACATGGCCACCTAGCCATGCCTACCCAGCCGGTCCAGCCCCCCAACAGTCTGAGGGACCATGAATTGGTCCCCTATTTAAAAAGTTTGAGGACCCCTGCCTTAAGCGGTATGCCATACAACCGCATACCGGTTATATAAAAGTTTATATTATATAAATATAATATATAATATTATATTTAAATTATATAAAAGTTTCTTCCATTTGTCAAATTTTAATGACAAAGAAGGGGAGAATTATTAAATTCTGGCCCCATCACTGTTTGGAAATACTTCCAGATGCACCATTAAAAATTATCCTTTCCTGGAAAACTTCCGGCTGACATTGCAGCGATATTGGACGTGAGGAGGGGTCTCCGCGCTCCCAAGCCAAGTTCTCCACGTTAGAAGGCTCTGAAAGGAGCTAAAGCCACCCTGGAGGGGTGGTGAAGAAAAGAGGGGCACTCTGCAGGTCGTGAAGAGTCGCAATCTCTCCCGCTTGTTCCAGGATTTTGTTTCCCTCTCCTTCACGACGAAGAAAAGAGACAGCCAAAAATAGCTGCCATGAAGCTGGGACAAGCGAGGCAACAAAGAAAGTGCAGGAGCGGTATAAATGAACAGTGAATGGAACTGGGTAAGATTATTCCTTTTTTACTCAAAACTTAACCTTAAAAAGAAAAGAGGGGAAAAATTCGAAAGAGACTCTTAACTATCTATTAAAGTGGCGAAGAATCACATAGAGAAAAACTACAGACCTGAAAGAAAAGAACTAAGAGAGAAAAAGTTAAAAATTTCAAAGCACAGAAAATTGGATGGCTAAGTTGGGTAGGCATTATTTTGGAAAGGCATTTCATAATGCTAGATTCATCTACTTTAATAATTGACTTTGCTCTTATAAATCGAATTTAAATTGTATTTAATAGCTGTTAGAACTGAGACCACGTTGAAACCTAAGCTGAGAGCACCATCTGCTTACAAAGGAAAATATACCATACACTACCACCATGGGAAATTTATTGATTAGAAAAATAAACATTTATTTGGAGAACTGTGGTGATATTTAC